CTCGCCAACACCAGGGACGGGTCTCGGTGCAGTGCTGCCAAGGTGAGTACTGTAGTCTGAGAGCCCTCTCGGTGGAGACCTATAGTGATGAAGAGGAACTATAGGGTGGGTTTGAAGCCGGATTTTTCTCTGGTTACACTGTACCGCAAACATACAAGTGGGCGGATTGGCTCTCGCCTCTCGAAAAGGCATGCATGCAACCCATCCGCACGCCTGTATGCGGTACAGTATACCCAGAAAAAGTCCGCCTACGATCACCCATCCTGTACAAATCCAGTGACAGGTGCTTTCATGCAAACCCTTGGACTGGGCAGGCATTCCTCCGGCCGGTGCGCTCGCGGTCCAACCTCCACATCGGCAAGGGGGTGCGGGTGACGCGCGTGCTGGTGGAGCCCGACGGCCCTGGCGGGGGCGGGCGCGCCGTCGGGGTGCAGTACGTGCGGGGCCGGCGGGCGCGGGCGGTGCGCGCGCGCAAGGAGGTGATCCTGTGCGCGGGGACCATCGGCTCGCCGCACCTGCTGCTGCTCTCGGGCATCGGGCCGGCCGCGCACCTCCGCGACCACGGCATCGCCGTGCTCCGCGACCTGCCCGGCGTCGGCCTCAACCTGCAGGACCACGTCGCGATGGGCGGGCTCGCCTTCCTGGTGAACGAGAGCGTGGCGCTGGTGGAGAGCCGCATGCAGCGGCCGCGCTACGCGCTGGAGTACGCGCTGCGGGGCACGGGGCCCATGACGCTGCCGGGCGGCGCCGAGGCGCTGGCCTTCCTGCAGTCGCCGCTGGCCGAGGCGGAGGCGGCGCTGGCGGCGTCCTCGGGCCCCGCGAGGAAGCGCTCGCGCCGCGCCGACGTGGAGCTCGTGTTCGGGCCCGGCGCGCTGCCGGGCGACACGGGTGGCAGCATCCGCCGCTCCATCAACCTGGACGAGGACTTCTGGCGGCGCGTGTACGGCGCCGTGGCCGGCCGCGACGCCTGGAACGCCGTGCCCATCCTGCTGCGGCCGCGCTCCCGCGGCGCGCTGCGCCTCCGCTCCGCCAACCCCTTCCACTGGCCGCGCCTGCACGCCAACTACTTCCAGGACCCGCGCGACCTGCAGGTCCTGGTCCACGCCATCAAGATGGTGAGTGCTGCTGCTGGCGACTGGACCCGCGCGGGGGTCGCTCTTGTTTATTTCCGTTGCCGTCGTGCGGCGCTTACTACACTCGCCGAGTATTACGTCCTTACGCTGGCGTTCCGGGCGGCTGGACGAGCTAAGCCGGCTGGCCCGTGTCCGCCCCGCCCC